TGAATAAAAATAATAAAAATTTGTGGATGAATGTATTTTTGTTACTGAAAGTTAATTAGAAGATTTGTAGTTTGTTTCAAAATTTAAATGGAAGAAATATGAAAAGCCCCCGAAACTTTGATAATATGCTTGGTCTTTCACAATTCAACACGGTATGACTTGTCTTTCTTTAGGTTATATCGAGTTGGGTTGTGACGTGTAACCAGACGACATCGATTAGAGACTGTAGTAGGGGGAAGTTGGTTAGAGAATTGTCGCCAAGCAATGGTGGTCACAGGATTAGTTATTAGACGATTGTTATAAGACTACGATGGTTGTAAGAGGATAGTAGTTGGGTGACGGTGGTCAAATGATTATGATTTGATGATGATGATCCACCAATGTTTCTTGGGTGGAGCTCCAAAATTGTTCAAGCTATTGAGCTCTATTGAGTCTCAAGCCAAGATTTAAGCCCCCTTTAATGTAAAGAGTGTGAGCCTATTTATATATTTCTTAGAGTAGCATATGTTGTAAATATAGAAAAAATCCAAGACTTTATTCATTCACTTGATCTTAGACCATTATTTCAACATTTAAGAACCTTAATGGTATCATATTAGATGATTTTAGGTATTTAGAGACGATTTTGATCTTCTAATTAATGCCCAAGTTTTCTATTTAGTTTCAAGTACTTTTTTTTGTACTTATTTCGATTCGAATTGGATCACTTTTAGTATCTACAAATTTATCTTATCTAGATGTTCAATTTGACTATAAGCTTTCTAAAACCGAAGTTCGAATGATTCTAAATATAATTATATAAATTTATAATTCAAATATGTATCTAGATTCGTATGTAATGAAATTTACTTTTTATGATGAAACCAAATGATATATCATAAAAATTTTATCTTGATCGGGCACGAATCTCGAGGCAAAATCAAGCAGGAAACGTAAAAAAATTAACTTTGGGATCACCTGAACTCTGATTTCAGCGAACTTATAGTCAAATTGAACGTCTCGGAAATACGAACTCAATAACACCAAATTCGACTCAATCCTAGTCCAAATGAGTCCAAATCAAGGACCCGAAGCGTTGTTGAAAGGTTTGAACCACAATTTGATTTACCAAACGGTTTTCAAACATAACAAGCTTATAGTCGAATCGAGCGGCTCAACGAAACGAATCAAAAGAGCCCAAGATCACTGAATTCCGACGTCATTAAGACCTTCAAATATCTGATAAATGATCCACAATCAAAGAATTCAATATCAGTCGTCCATCCAAACCAGCCCACATTGCCCCTGTTCTCTCACCTATTTACAGGTCATGCCACTCCAGAATATCTATAAATAGATCCTTAATTTCTCTTGAGAGGGGACCCAAGTGTAACGCTCCAAGATCTAACTTGGAAAGAATTTCAAGCAATCCATCAACAATTTACCAGAGCTATCTATAACTTCAATCAAACAGTCTAGCAAAATCTATAACATTTAAAACATCAATGTACAAGTCGATTCATTCTTCAAAAGATCATATACAATACTCAGGAACTACACTATGAACTAACATCTATCCAGTCCTGAGTACAAAAGAATATCTATAACCAAAAAGGACAAAAACCTGGAGATTCCTGATCAACCTCAATCTCATGCTCCCTTGCCCTGACCTGAAAATATTAACCACGTATAATGAGCTTCAAAAAGCCCAGCAGGTCACCTAATACCTACAACTGAAATCAAAGCACGGTACAGGCAACAATATGCATGTCAGTCAATCAAATCCATAACAGTCTATTGCGCATGGTCAATGAATCTATGCAAATACGGAAATCAAATCAGTAGTCAATGCA